AGACAGTTTAAGGTTAAAGTTATGGGGGTTTGAAGAGGGTTAGGTAGTGCATTCCAGGCATTGACCACTCTGTTGCCAAAGTCCTATGTACTGCAATCGAGTTTGTAGCAATTTACCTTGAGTTTGTACCTATTGTACCTATTGTTTGCCAGTGTATTATTGCGGTTGAAGCTGAAGTAGTCATTGATAGGTAGGATGTTGTGTACTACAATTTTGTGTACTTATCAGACCTTAGCCAGCATAGGTTCTAGGTTGTCCAAGTCCAAAATTTCAAGCCTGCTGGCATAAGGGATTCTATTTTGAGCAGAGGAGTGGAGTACTCTTCTCGTGAAATTCTCGTGATTACTCATCAAGAATATCCTTTCCTTTGAAATCTTTGTCAGAAAGTTTACTGCTTTTACTGCAAGTAGGCTGGTGTGGAGTTATGCATGGTTATCTTGGCTAGGAACTCTTAGTTCAGGGTGAGTCTCAGAAACTGCTAGAATATGATTCTTTGATATCACATCTCTTTCAGAAAGATATCTATCCCAGATTATTAGTTAGTGTACTGTTGTGACCCAGCAGGATCCGGTTGAGCTGCTGTTGCACTTGGATAGCGAGGAACCATATGAGTCTTCCAGGGAAGATGTGGAGGACCCTGGGGAGGGTTCATACTCAGAGCAGGGACCAGAGAAGCTGGTTGTTCCACCAGGAGGCGCCTGAGCCACTGGAGCAGTGGGGAGGATTCAAGGCAGTTTGTTCCTGACGCAAGACAAAGAAGGGCGGAGAAACGGAAGCAGCAGCTGCGGAGGCAGACTCAGAGACAATAATTAAGCCCAGGTGGTTGTGGCTTGGCCCCTCCCAAGAGAGTATATAAGTGATGAAGTGGGGAGGGATCATTTGCAAGATACAACCGTTTGAAACAGTATTGGAATACTCTGTCTTGTACCGGTGCCTGTTGGATTTTGGTTTGCTGCCAACTAGTCTTGCATGTGAGGCGTGTCTGGGCCTTCAGCCCACGGAGTTGATAAAGCCGTAATTAAAGAGTGGCAAACAGCCAAGCCTGTGTCTGGGTGATTTTCAGGTTGGGGGGGAGGGATGTCAGAACAGTGTACTAAAAAATCAGTTAAACAGTTGAATGACGGAGATATATCATATCTACATGTACTTCCTCAGCACTGGAACTTATCAAATTTGCAGATGATACTAAGGTGGCAAGAAGAGCCAAGACCTTAGAACATAGGCTCAAGATCCAGATGGATCTTGACAGACTTGGACACTGGGCCCTATCTCACAAAATGAAATTCAATGTAGAGAAAAGTAAAGTCTTACACTAAGGCAAGAAAAAACCAAAAGTACAAATATAGATTGGATGAAACCAGGCTTAATAGCCTGGTGAGAGGGATCTTGGAATCTTAGTGGACAACCAGCTAAATATGAGCCAGCAGTGTGCAGCGACAGCCCAAAAAGCCAATGCAATCCTAAGTTTCATTAACAGAGAGATACAATGAAGATCAAGTGAGGTACTAATACCACTCTATAAATCCCTAGTAAGATCACACCTAGAATACTGCATCCAGTTTTGATCACCATGCTATAAAAAAGATGTTGAGGCTCTAGAAAAAGTGCAGAGAAGAGCAACTAGGATGATTAGGGGACTGCAAACTAAACATATGAAGAACAGTTACAGGAACTCTGCATGGCTAGTCTAGTGAAGAGAAGGACCAGAGGAGACATGATAGCAGTCTTCCAATATTTGTGGGTCTGCCACAGAGAGGAGGGAATCAAGCTATTTTCCAAGGCCAGACAAGGAATAATGGGTGGAAACTGACCCAGGAGAGATTCAACCTAGAAATAAGGAGGAACTTTTTGACAGTGTGAGCAATCAACCCATGGAACAGAAGTTGCCTTCGGAAGTTGTGGGGGCTTCATCGCTTGAGACTTTCAAGAAGAGATTGGACTGCTATTTGTCAGAAATGGTGTAGGGTCTCCTGCCTAAATGGGGGGTTGGGCTTGATGACCTATAAGATCCCTTCCAACTCTGTTAATCTATTATCTGTTATCTTCCTACCAACCTGCTTGCAGTAGAAGCGGTAACAGCCCTGAGTTTTTATATCTGGTTGGAGATTCTGAGGACAATTCTGATGCATCCACTATAGCAGGGGTGTCAAACTTAATTTCACTGAGGGCCACATCAGGGTTGTGTTTGACTTCCGGGAGCCGGGGTGGCTGGGGCCAGCTTGATGTCAGGGGTACCTATGGTGGCCTGAGTGCTCTGCAACAGCCTCCCACATTCTGTTTTCAGCTGTGACGACCTCTTTCAACCCTCTGCCAGTGAAAACGGAGTTCAGGAGGGTCACATGTGATTCTCCCAAGCTCCATTTTCACTGGCAGAAGCACCACGGGCTCATCCTTCTATGTTTTCAGGGCAGCCCCGCGGGCCAGATCTAAACACCACGTGGGCCAGATCTGGCCCCTGGGCCTTAAATTTGACACCAGTGCACTGTAGGGTGATTTAGAGGGTTTCCATTTTTACTACTGTGAATTATGAGCACAGGCCCAATTTTTTAGGGAAGTCGCAGCATTGACCATGTAGTCCCACAGCCCATCTGCAGTGACCCACTATTCTGCTCTTGCTGTTTGGGACAAATGTGGTTACTCATCAACAACATCCTTTCCTTTCAAATGCTTGTTTGAAAGCTTGTGAAGATGTGCTTTTCAGGTCCTCTTCTCTTACTGAATTTTCCCCCCTACCCATGACCCAACTCTAAGCTTCTTACTTTCATTCTGAAGAACTTTCTCAAAATGCCTTCAAAGAAAAAACAACAACAAGGAAGTCCAGTTGCCTCCTGAAAAACACTTTTGGGACATATTACTAGAAATATTAAGTAGGTCACGAGTTAATCAGTTAGTGATTCCAAAGGATTACATTTTCTTCTCTTATGGTATTCTGATGGTAATCAGTGAACTGCTTAAAACGTTGAATTGAATTGAATTTATTATATTTCTATGCTGCCCTTTTCCCCGAAGGGGACTCAGGGCGGCTCACAACCCAAGTCAAGGGGGGGGGTACAAATAAGGAAAAAAAAGTAAATGAACAAAAACAATGCCACAATTTAAAAACACACAACAACCATACCATTCGAGGAGGGGGG